GTGCTGTTTTCGTCGCGCTGTGATGACGTCACGTACGCGCTTTCGTCGAGTGCGCTTTAGTCTACTGCGGTTTTGCGGTGGAACCGAGGCAGCCTACACTGGCCACGCGCTGCAGTGTTCTGTTAATTCATAGCAGCATTCCTAGTATTCTGAATAAAGAAAACAGAAAAAGGGGAATTTTATTGGGTTTTTAGAAGAAAAGGAACAAGGGCCTTGTTTGAAATAATAAATGGAGGATAGAATGTCCCCATTGCATATCTGTTTCTCCAGTATAGAGACACAAAGGGTTCACATTGTGCCCGAAATGTGCTGCACTTGGATTGGTTTTTGCAATCTAGGCAGAGCCTGGAAGAATGAAACCCGCTCACTCTCCCCACTTTTTCTGGCTAGAGGCACAGGAGAGTCTTAATGAAACGAGCTTGGCTGGGCCCTTGAACCATCTAGAACTGTGTATCAAGATGGGATCTTCATGTCTCTCGGGAACGGCTGAGCAGTGATATATTTTCCTGCTTTATGGCCCGATAATCTCCAAGGATCCTCTCCAAATTGCTCAGGGTTTTCTTGCTGGTTTCGCTCTCAATCTGGAAAGGGGAAACAAACAAATGGGGGGGGGGACATTATTTTAGACGGGAGGCACCCCTGCACACTCTGCAATCCATCATGCTGAATTAATCCATCAAAAAATGAAAAAAAGAGAAAGAAATGGAAAATAATGGAATTCGCTTCCCAAATTATCACTTTCACACCAGCACACCCCTTTTCTAAAATTAAACTTTTGTCCTTAATTATTACAGCTTTTAACTGTAAAAGGGATATCTGGAAAAGATTTCAAACCATTTTCCCAATAGGAGGTGGGAAACCTTTTAGTTGATGGGGGAACTTCATTTAAACTTTATTTTTATGGCGTGATTATCTTCAGCTATCAAGCGCTGCCATAACAGAATGGTTAAATATCCAGTGGTAACACCAGCATTTCCAAACTATTGAGAGGGATGTTTTTGTAGGTTTTGGTCATCTTATAGCCCAAAGGTGATTTCCATAACTTTTCAATGTAACTTTGACATCAGCATCAAAAACCTTTTGGTAGTTTGCCATCAAAATTCAGTGGTCAGAATTTGTGTGTGTGTGTGTGTGTGTTAAAGGATACTGTGATTTGCTCACACGTGTCTTGGAAGGTCTGTTTGATACTGCCAGGCTA